AAAAGAGAAATTTACCAAAAGTGATACAAACATTTAACGTGGTTCGGTCAATTGGCCTACATCCACAGGCGGAGATGAGCAATCTTCTATATAAAAGAGAGTACAAAATATTGAGAGAACAACCTCACAAAGAGGCAAACACAAGTAACACACTAACACTTATCCTGAAAAGTTCTCCCCCTTATAAACAAGACTCTCAAACCCCATATGGCTATATTGTGGATGCTACTGAATATGAGAAGGAAGAATCCTCAATTTATAGAAGTTCAAACTTTTTCCTCCAAAAAAAGGGACAAAATTATAATCTTCTTCTACAAAAAGGAAAACTCAATTATAATAAATATGTTGCCCTTTCCTTCAACAGATAAAAAAAACTAAAGATGGTAAAAAAATCAGGACAACCACCTAATAACTTGGCATACCGACTTTAAGAGTACACTTGTGGTATGTTTCATACGTACGAAAATCTTGTTTTATTTTTAAGTACATATTCAATCAAATATGTCATATAAAACAAGTTAATATTCATTGATAAGTAAAAATTATGTAATGCGTGTATATAAATTAAATCCTGTTTATCTCTTTCTGTGGTTGTTAAGAGAATCACATATTTAATTGAGAGGTTTGTAGCATGTTCTCCCTGTGGTTGCTGAGAGATTTATTTAATTGGTTCATTAGATACACTTGTCATGACCCCAAATAGGTAGGATGTCGTGATGACACCTAATCTTTAAGACTATGTAAGTCTAACACTTAATGAATTAATAGCAAAATTTAACCAACAACTATTAAATATGAAATAAAAATTTCTATACAAAGCTTACAATCCCAAAATTGGTAGTACAAGTCATAAGTTTTACTGAGTTCACTAGAAAATCTCTAAGTACAATTGTTCCGAAATAGAAATGAATTGTACAAAAATAACTTCCGAAGGTAACTTTGAGGCCTGCGAAGGCAACAACAGGTATACCTTGAAGTCTCCACAGCAATATTTGATCCGCTATCTAACAACCAACAGACTCCGAAGTACTTGGATCTGCACAAAAATGTAGTATGGGTACACCACGATCGGTACCCAGTAAGTATCAAGACTAACCTTGGTGGAGTAATGATGAAGTACAAGTCAAGACACTCACTAAATAAAATAACATGTGTAGTATAGAAGTATAATACTAATGACAGAAAGCGAAAAATCAGTAAATGGCAACAAAAACCAACAAGTGATATAAACAATAAGACAATAAGAATATATTGAAGTATCATTAAAACCAAATAAAGAAACACAAAGGACAATCAATTAATCAAGTCGTTCTAACACAAGTTTCACAACGAAATCACTTCGTGGTACCTCACCTCATAGTCACAAGTCACGGGTCTCAACACACCATTATATACTCACGGCACCTCGTGCCCATAACTCGCATCACAATCGCACGGACGACTCACGTGCCAAAATCTCAATCTACCCGACATGATCACAGGCTCACATTCACAATCCGCCCGACATGGTCACAAGCTCATAATCACAATTAGCCTGGCATGGTCACAGGCTCACAACCACAATCCGCCCAGTATGATCACATGCTCACAACCACAATCCGCCCAGTATGATCACATGCTCACAACCACAATCCGACCGGCATGGTCACAAGCTCGAAATCAACATGAAAACAGATAATACATGGACACATGGGCATGATCAATAAATGTCAAGTTTCATACTCCTGAACTTGTATAAGTAGCATGATACGGTGTATGCTTGTGCGAGTATACTACTGCAGCCTAAGTCAACAAGTAATATCAAAGACATCAAATAGCTTATCGAAACAACAAAGAAAGTAATGCAAGGTGTATGACATACACAAGGAAAAACACACCATCACACGAAAATCACCAACATAATGTCTCCAACCATCACACATTATCCCCGACATTTCCATCCTTATCTCTCCGATAGCCACCCGTATCACTCCACAATGACATTATCATTAGCCACCCTTATCTCTCCTATAGCCACCAGTATCACTCCGCCCTGGTATTATCATTAGCCAGCCTTATCTCTCCTATAGCCACCCGTATCACTTTGTACAGTTAACAACAACGAGATGCCACCCCTATGCCCCGCATACCAACGACGGTAAAATGCCACCCTTATACCCTGCATAATAACAACGGTGAAATGACACCTTCATACTCCGCATAACCACAACTAAACCACACAACAATCGCATGTGCTATCATCACAACAACATAACATATCAACTCGTATCATAAGTGCCCGTAGGCCACAACCTTTCCAAAGATTCAACAATATCAATATTTTCACAATAAATAGCCCACGGCTCAACACAACATATGTAGAATCTTAATAACAACAAAATGATAGAAAAAGTAACTCAACAAGGAACAACACCCCTTTTTAAACACAACTTCAATTAGAATAGATTAATGACTCTCGATAACTTCAATTCCACTTAATTGTTTAAGGACAACCTTGATAGTGATAGTACTTCCATGGAATGGCAAAACTTCGGACTGTAGTGTATGTATTAGGCTAAAAATGAAAAAGATGACACGAACCAGTATCACGTCTAAATGTATGAGAGCAACCCAGCAACAAAAGGATATCATATGACGACAATTTCAACTAAGAGTAGCTCCACAATAAAAGAAATCACATAATTACACAAAGTGATAACAACTCCCAATAAAGCATATAAGAGCAAACTCGACAAGTAAAGCAGGTGACATGTAATGACAACTTCAAATAAAGCATGCGATAGTAAATATAACGGATAGAAGATATAATATGTGCTAACAATTCCATATAAGTACATGAAGGAAGCCTAAGAGTCTAAGCCGGTCAATTTTCCACATATAAGCCTGAGTACGTACTCGTCACTTTGCGTACACGGCTTTCACGTAACACAAATAGCACAAACGACTCAAATCCTAAGGGGTAGTTTTCCCCCACATAAAGTTAGGCAAGATACTTACCTCAAAGAAGTTAGAATGATATTCTAAAATTACTTTCTCGTATGAAACAACCTCCGGATGGCATAAATCTAGCCAAAATAACTTAATATCATAAATAAAAATCATAAGAAACAATTCTGAATAATAAAGTTTCGCTCTTTAATAAAAACTAAAAAGTCAACCCAAAAATTCAACCCGGGCCCGCACCTCAGAACCCGATAAAATTCATAAAATTCGAACACTCATTCCGATACGAGTCCAACCATACCAAATTTATTTAATTCCGACATCAACTCGTCCTTCAAACCATCATTTTATACTTTTGAAAGATATCACAAAATTCCCATTTTTTCCCAACTCAAACAACTAATTTAATGATAAAAATAAAGATGGAATTATGAAATATAATCAATTCCGGGTGAAGAACACTTACCCCAATCCAACACGTAAAGAACCTCTCAAAAATCGCTCAAATTCGAGGTCTACAACTCAAGATATGACAAAAATGGTCAAACTCTCGAAATAGAGTACTTTATATTTCTACCCAGGTAACATGCATCGCGAAGAAGAAAATCATCAGCTGCCAAGAATGTGCTACGCGAACACGAAAATGGAGAAGCGAACGCGAAGAAGAAATAATACTGCCCCACGAAAATCACTATGCGAACACGGTTAAGGAAAGCTCATACGTACGCGATCGCGAACCACTCACTGCGAACGCGAAGAAGGAAAATGGTGAGCCACAAGAACATGCTACACGAACGCGGCTTTAACCTCACGATCACGTAAGGGAACACCAGATATCAAATCAACAATCCAAAACATGAGAAAATGGCTCGTAGCCTATCTGAAACACACCCGAGGCCCCCGAGACCCTGTCGAAACATGACCCGCTCGAGGCCTCAAATCACTTCAAACAACATCAAAACTATGAATCGCGCCTCGAATCGAATTTAATGAACTTATGAACTTTCAACTTCTACAACTCGCGCCGAATCATATCAAATCAACCCGGAATGACGTCAAATTTTGCATGTAAGTTTCAAATGGCATAACAGAGCTATACCAACTCCCGGAATCAAAATTCGAACCCGATATCAACAAAGTCAACTCCCGGTCAAACCTCTCAACCTTCCAAACCTTCAACTTTTCAATTTTCGCTGAAATGCATCAAATTAATTTACGGACCTCCAAAACCAAATCCGGACACACGTCTAAGTCCAAAATCACCATGCGAAACTATTGGAATCATCAAAACACCATTTTGGAGTCGTCTACACAAAAATCAAACTCCGGTCAACTGTTACCGCTTAAGCTTCTAAAGCAAGAATTCTTCTTTCAAATCAATCCCGAATCATCCGAAATCCGAACTCGACCACATACGCACGTCATAATACATAACACGAAACTACTCGAAACCTTAAGTCACCGAACGGGAAGCAAATTCTCAAAACGACCGGTCGGGTCGTTAAAAAACTTCACAAAATTAGATCTACCACTTGGTATTTATCATTAACAACAACATAGTCACTATGAATGAAAACAAATAACAGATCATTTTAAATCCATTTTACATGAATAATTTATAAATCAACAGTTTAAATTCTTGATTTGATACTGTATTGAATATTGTATAACTCTGCTGTGTGGTTAATATTATATTGATATCAATTATTACTATATGACTTTTTCTTCATTTTGTATGCTTAAAACAGGTACTCTAGTTATGTATTTCAAGATTTGTTCTTTCAAATTGTTGTTTTTGCATTTGGGATTTAAGCTCACCAGCACCCTTTAGTGTCGCTAGCGACTTCAACACAGAAGGCGGCTCTGTTTCGTTCCCCTCTATTCAGCCAAGAATGACCAAGAATTCATATCTTATATTGTCTTAAAATGACCCTTATATCCCTATCGCATTTATCAGTACATTGGACTAGTTTCTCATCCTCACCTGTAAAGCTACTTTATAAGATGCCTTTGGAATCTCATTCTTCTCGTATAGAAGCATTTTATATATTCTCTCACATGATAGGTAAGCATTATTTTATTGACAAAAAACAGAAAGGAGCAACCATTCCATACTCTCTGTTGCCTCATTCAAGTAAAAAGGTTAGCCAATCATGATCTCTCTATTAACTTAAACAAAAAAAATTTATATGCAAAACTATTTTCTGCTATGATTTTCATTGTATTCTTACTTCTTTCTCCTGATAAACTTTTATGTATTTTTTATACATCAGATCATGGATAGAGGAAAAGAAACTGAAGGAGAAAGAGAGAAAGGGGAAGAATTCAACTTTGAGGTATGCCATACAATAAATAGTCATACGTATTATAACTAAAGTAGACTACAATATTGTTATACAACTGTTCTAAACATCTTCTTACATTATTAGTGAATTTTAATTAGACACGTCCAGTGCAGGTAGTTGAAAGAATTATATAATTAAATTAATGGTTAATTAAAAAATCAATTAAATTTAAATAACTAAAGAATTGAATATAGTTCCTATGTGTGGCACGTGTAACCCATGTTAGTATGGGGCCTAAGGCAAAAATAAAAAGTGAGGCCTTAAAATTTTTTAATTATTTTTTTTACTCTTATAATTTATCAAAACCTAAAGAAGTTATAATAGTTTTAATTATTGTCAATGTCAAACCAATTTGTTTAATCTCTTTTGTGTTATCATGTTGAACTTTATTGATTGAGTTTTGAAAACTTTTTCAACCGAGGCAACTGATATAGATATTATTAACGGTAATTGAATCAACACTTTTTTCCTGTTTGAGTTTGCCAATTAGAGTATTCTTCTACTTATACAGTTTCTCTTAGCACTTTTAATTATAAATATAAGTTGAAATAAATAATACTATAGTAACTACTATGTTTCAAGAGTCATTCAATGTTAAGGACGAATTTTAATAGTTATTTATCAAAGTAGCTTGAAAAATATCTATAAAGGCACTTAATGATTTTTTTTTTTTTAAAAATTCTAAACTAACATTGTAAGAAGATCGATTTAAGTTGGAACGAATTAAAGACATAAAATAATTAGTAACTACAAATTAAGATGTATAAAACTTTTAACTATAAATATTTTAACAAAATGATTTAAATTTTTTATAAATAGAGCATAATTATTAAATATTTTTTATATTATTTATAGATTTTGGGCCCTAAGTATTTTGGGGCCTAAGACCATTGGCTTAGTGGCCTTGGGCTCCGGCCGGCCCTGATATCATCTGAAACAAGGAAATTTAACGAGGAAATGATCAAAATGGTCCCTAATGTATAGGAGTTGGACCGTTTTGATCCTTGATATATACCCCTTAATGAGAATAGTCCCTGATGTATGTAAAAAATGGATGTTTTTGGTCTAATGCCCTAAAACTAACAGTTACTCCGCATGTATCCGTTAAAGTTAATGGATTCATAGCACAAGGATCAGATGGTACTCCATTTTTTCTCGGACAAAACTCGATTCCCACGGCTGCAAAATACCACGAATGCAGCTCCACTCGTTCAGTGCTTGAGTGAAAGCTTGTACAGCCCAATCGTCAGTGACCGGTGGTAGATTCATTCGTTCCGTTTGGAAACGAGATACGAACTCTCTTAGCATCTCGTTGTCCTTTTGTCTTACCTTGAAAAAGTCTGACTTCCTGGTCTCGACCTTTATGGCTCCGGCGTGTGCTTTTACGAAAGAATCTTTAAGCATAGCAAAAGAATCGATAGAGTTAGACGGTAAATTATGATATTATATCATTGCTCCCTTTGACAGGGTTTCACCGAATTTTTTCAGTAATACAGATTCGATCTCATCGTCCTATAGATCGTCCCCTTTAATGGCACATGTGTAAGAGGTGACATGTTCGTTGGGATCGGTTGTTCCATTATATTTAGGAATTTCGGGCATGCGAAACTTCTTTGGGATTGGTTTAGGAGACGTGCTCGGGGAAAAAGGCTTTTGTACAATTTTTTTGGAATCTATGCCCTTCAATATCGGCGGTGCCCCTGGGATCTGAGCAACCCTGGAGTTATACATTTCCACTTTTTTGTCGTTTGCTTCGATCCTCCTTTTTTCCGACTCTATTCGTTTCGTCAGTTCTTCGAACATCTTAACAATTTCGGGATTAGTCCATGATTCTTGCTCATTTGACCTTACTATAGCTGGTCCCATTTTATGGGTGACTTCTTGGGGTGGACTGAGCTCGAATCTGGTAGGTTCCTGGGTTTGGCTCTGCAACTGGGCTATTGCTACTTGTTGAGCTTGCAACATCTCGAAAATTATACGCAAGCTGATTACGTTTTCCTCAGCGTTTTGGGTATTTCGAGCAGCAGACCGAGTAAGGCTGATTGAGTTCTAATAAAATTAGGTTCAATTAAACAGAAGGAAAGGTGATTTGATTTGCAATGGTTTAATTTTGACTGCAACGATTATGAAGAGTGTGGAAGAAGTGGTTGAGATTTATCTCGATATTTCAATTTCTAGTAGCTTGGTAATTTCTTTCAATGAGATAGGTAGAGACCGGACTTGCCAAATTCATGATCTTGTGCATGACTTTTGTTTGATCAAAGCAAGAGAGAAAAAGTTGTTTGACTTTATAACTTCAAGTGCTCCATCATCTTCTTCTTCAGATTTGATGCCACCTCACGTGGCCATTGATTATGATAAGGAGCACTTTGGGCATAACAATTTTGTGTTGTTCGATTCAAAAAAGAGAAGGCATTCCGGTAAACATCTCTATTCTTTGACGATAACTGGAGACGAGCTGGACGACAGTCTTTATGATATATGTCACTTAAGACACTTGAGGCTTCTCAGAGTACTGTACGACTCTTTGATCAAGGTGAATGATTCTTTGCTGAGTGAAATATGCACATTGGTCCATTTGAGGTACTTAAACATTTGGACAGAAGTTAAATCTCTACCTTTGTCTTTTTCAAATCTCTGGAATCTAGAAACTCTGCGGGTGATAAACGATGAACCACCCTTAGTACTACTACCGACAATTTGAAATCTTGTAAAGTTGCGAGTGCTGGCTATAGATAATTGTTCTTTCTTTGATTTGGATAAGAATGAACCAATACTGATAGCAGATGACTCAAAGTTAGAGAACCTTAGACTAATACAGGGACTCAAACTTTCCTATTCAAAAGACACACAGGATATTTTCAAAAGATTTCCCAATCTTCAAAAGCTTGCTTTTAATCTCGAGAATTTATGGGATTGTTCAACAGGGCAATATTGATTCCCAAAATTGGACTTCCTAAATGAACTAGAATTGCTCAAAGTAGCTGTTGAAAGTTCAAATTCAAATGATAATGCGCTCTCTGTAGCGACAAATCGGCTGTGGGATTTTCACTTTCCTTCGAGTGTGAAAATATTGGGTTTGTGTAAGTTTCCTCTGACGTCTGATTCACTATCAACAATAGCAAGACTGCCCAACCTTGAACAGCTGTGCCTTACAGACGCAATCATCGAGGGAGAAGAATGGAACATGGGGGAGGAAGACACCTTCCAGAAACTCAAATGTTTGACGTTGGAACGAGTGAGTCTTGCTAAGTGGGAGGTTAGAGAGGAATCCTTTCCTGCGCTTGAAAAATTACAACTTAGGGAATGTCGTAAGCTTGAGGAGATTCCTCTTTGTTCCGGGGATATTTGTTCATTAAAAATTATCGAACTGTGGAGGAGCCCTCAACTTGAACCATCTGCTCTGAAGATTAAGCAAGAAGTTGAAGAAATGATGGGGGATATTCAGGTCCTTGTTTATAACTGATCAAGTCTTGAGCACTTTTACCCTGGGAAAATATGTGAGTATAGACGAACTTATTACCTACTTTATTTCATTTTATGTGGCAGGATTTGACCAGTGTGATTTTCTTTTGCAGAGAGCATGTAAGGAATACATCCAGCTTTAGAGGCTAAAGATGAATCCTCAGACATGTATATCATTCTCCCTGCTATTTCTTTTACTCTGCTGTGTGGTGAATATTGGATTGATATCAATTATTACTATATGGCTTTTGTCTAATTTCCCCACTTTTTCTTCATTTTGTATGCTTAAAACAGGTACTCTAGTTATGTATTTCAAGATTTGTTCTTTCAAATTGTTGTTTTTGTTACTCACTTTTAGTTTTTGGCATGGCTTGAATTGTTTGCATTTCATTCGTTACTTCTCAAGGCTTTTTCAAGTTTTTATATATCTTTCAAGAATCAGCCATTGAGACATTTGGAGTTGAGACAATGATCATGACGTTCCAATAGATATTAGGCAGACAAACACGAAAAAATTAACTAATGAGGTGAATTTCGAGCTGTCACCAAATGGTGGTTCCATTTTTAAGGTGGCAATTGCACATACTACACGGACGGTGATTTCAAGCTCAAGAAAGAAGAAGTCAAGGCACGCAGGAGAAAATTCTTGGGAATGTAGATAACAATATGATACATCATGGGGAACTATCAGCTAGAGGAATTGCACAATAGGGAAGGTTCGGACGAGGATGAATAACCTATTGCTCAGAATTAACCTGTTGCTTCTGTACAACAGTTGACCTCATGTGCAATAGTAAGTGTTATTATAATTCCTCTTGTGCCTATTAATACATGGTGCAAGAACAATATACTACCGCTACTGGTAAAGATGCAGTGTTCCACTAAGAAAAAGAAGTTTAATTTAATTCACTGATACATTGTGCTTTGAACATGACTTTCTGCAGAATGAATATATATGACTATCACCTACTTCTGTTGGTGATGCTACCACTCAGTCACAGGCTCCCCAACTTACTTTGGCATGACATGAAAAGTAGCAAACTGCTTATAAACTGCTCAGGAATATATCTCCAATGCAGTCTACTTAGGCATTCAACTTGGATCGAAGCCCCATCCTGTAATGACTACGTTTTCTTGTTGGACGTCACATTATGCACTCGTGCAATTAATACGGTTATCTATAGTCTTTTTATGCAATTGGATTATATTATTCATTTTCCCTATACCTTTCTTTTTCCTTTTCAAAGATGATTTTAAGTCGGCGAATGTAAATTACCACCACAATAATTTGTGCTAATGAGTTCAAGTGATTGTACAAATATTTACAAAAGATTCACACAAAATGCTTATAATATAACTTCCATTATTTGTAACCAATCGCGCAACAAAGGGTAACCATTTCTTTGTTTTCCGATTGCCTGGAAAACAATAGATCTTCAGCGTCTTTTGATGGTGCTATCTTCTAGTATGTGTAAAGCCTTTTGTAGTATCTAAGAATTTCATCTGTGAATTTGCTGTTGATATGAGAACTTCCTCCCTCAAAGTTCCTTCTCCAGCATTCTATCAAAATATTACAACCGGTGCTATTTCATTCTCTAATTTACCCTTTAGCATCTTCAAATTTCTTTTTCAAGCCTTTTAGAGAGAGTAAATATATCAGCAGTGCTCCTTCTGACAAACTTAAAGAAACTAAGACTATTTCCAACCATATTTTTGTCATTTTGTCCCTAACATTAATGATCTGGTGCCCTTGTCCCCTTCCCTCTTCTCCTCCACACGAATTTTCAGCTTCTTATCTCAAGCTGATTGTTTTTTTAAAAAGGGGAGAATTCATACACAACCATTCCATACTTTCTGTTGCCTCATTCTCAGGTCATATATCTCAGATTTTTCAGTCTTCAACATCAAGTAAAAAGGTTAGTCTCTATTAACTAAGCAACGTTTGTTTATCTGAAGTTTTATGTGCAAAAATGTTTTCTGCAATGACCTTTTATGCTTCTTTCTTCAGTTTCTTTGTATTCTTTCTCCTGATTAGGTTTTATGTATATTTTATACATCAGATCTTGAGAACTTGAAAGGAAGGGAAGGAAACGTTACAATAATGGAAAGAGGAAAAGAAATTGAAGGAGAAAGAGAGAAAGGAAAAGCAATCAAATTATCGGTATGTCATACAATTTGTATAGTCATAGTTAATTATTAAGACTAATATTAACTTGGAGGATTATACAATTAATCCTCAAAATATAATATGTATATATTATTTTAATCTATCTATTTATCTATCTATATCTATATCTATACTATATTAAAAGCACGAAGCCCCTATCGAAATATCGTTCGCCTTTTTTACCCTTTAAAAAAAGAGTTCACACTAAATAAAATAGTCATTTAATTATTATTCTAATATTTAAGATTTTGAAATTAACTAAAATTTTGACTTTCAAAACTTTTTCTTATTTGAATTAGATAAGAACTCCTAATATTTAGACCTTTAAAATAATTAAGATTTTACCTCTAATATGGAGAAACTTAAATTAGTGTGTATTTGAGTTCCTAAAATAGTGCCTACCGTCCTAAAAATTAGGTCACAAAAAAGTTTCTTCTCAAGACGGATCACGGATAAGAAACAATTTCGTGGAGTTTATACCCTCGCTCTACATTCCAAAAAAAGCTGATTATTTTGACTTCGATTAATTTCAAATACATAGTATGAGTACTAATTTTATTTTTCATAACTAATGTTTATGTTTTATACTTATATCTATTTGTCTATATACTATATTAAAGCATGAAACTCCTATCGAAATGTCATTCGCCTTTTTTACCTTTTAAAAATAAATTTCACATTGGATAAGATTGTCATTTACTTTTTTTTTTTTAATATTTGGGACTAGAAATCAACTAAAATTTACTAAATTCTTCTTTATTTGAACTATGTAGGAACTCAATCCTATAGCAAAGGTATACACCCTATTTATTATAAACTAAAATTATTTTAAAATATTATTTTCTATAACTACTTTTTATATTTTATAGCAAAATAAGTATTTATGGTATATACTACCATTGAGATATGAAATACGTTATTTATGTTTTTCCTCTCTCTTTCTTTCAATTAACACACAATTCTCTCTCAGAATTTTTCGTCTTTCTTCTCTCTCTTCGAGCAAAATAGGCTGAATCATAGATACACGAAAGAGAAATAAATCATGAAAGAAAGTCTAAAAATCTCAAAATCAGAAATATGAAAGTAAACCTATAATCAAAAAAAGGAAGCAGAGATACCTTGGGCGACAAAGAGATTGAAGAGAAAGAGGAATTCTTAGCGCAGTAAGTAAGAGAGAAAAGAGGAAGAAGCGATCGAATTGGAAGCGTTGTAAATTATAATGGAAGAGGTAGTGAAGCGATACAAGGAGTCTTGGCCGAAAAATGCCATCTCCGACGAACTTTCTTCTCTTCTTTGATTTTTAGTCACATACAATGATATAAATACATTGTATTTTGTACAAATTCACTCAAACACATTGTATTTTTATATAAATATATTTTTTTTGCATGTGTTTATGTATTTGGAAGGTCTGTATTTTTTTAATACAGCTGAATACACATGTATATACAGTATGCATGAATACAGGATATAAACATTGAAATACACTGAATACAAATATTAAAATAGAACATAATATAAACAATGAATACATTTAATTTTAAAATACAGTAAAATACAGTAAAATACAATAAATACAAATACAAATATAGTGAATATAACCAATGAAATATACTAAATACAACAATAATAACATGTATTAGGAATAACTAAAACACTGTTAATACAAATACATTTGAATACACTGAATATAAAATAGTGAATACAATAAGTACAAACATTGAATCTAATGAATGCAATAGTAAAAATAATATTGAAACACACTAAATACAACAGTTATATACAACTAAAAAATCATTCTAATGAATTGGGTTAATAACGAGGCATGTTAGAATTGGATTTGCTGAGTTATATTAGGAGTGTGTCACGCTAATTGATATTATTTCCGTTATTAGACAGCTGGACAGACCTATTTTTAAGGTGATTATCATTACTGTTACATGACGCGAATACATATGAATACATGCGCGTACAACTGGACTGTCCTGATTTTTAGGCGCTTTTTGCTGCTGTATTTATGAATATAGCAGCGCGAATACAGCGAATACACTACCGTAGCAATTAAATAGTAGCTATAGGAAGTAATTATATATAAGATAGCTATAGGGAGTTAATAGCCACTAAACAATAGCGGTTTCTGAAATTTTCTCTAATAATCATAATTAATTATCGGGGTAGGGATAAGATCTGCGTACACACTACCCTCGATCACTCACCTGTGTGATTTTACTTGGTTGTTGTTGTTGTTGTTGTTACTTGTAAGAAAATTTGAACTATTTTAAAGTGAATATTTTCAATCTCAATGTACATATTATATTGTCAGAGTAAATTACACACATTGAATAACCAATAATTAGGGGTGGGTATAATACCGGCCGAATCGAAAAAACCGGTCGAACCGTGAATTTCGGTTTTTGGGTTTCGGTTTAATCAGTTATTCGGTCGGTGCATAGTTTTTAAATTATTAAATTTTGATTTTTCGGTGCGGTTTACGGTTTTGGTGTTTCGGTTTTCGGTTAAACCGAAAAACCGAAATTTTGGGTATTAGTTGAGAAAAATACGTTTGAACATATGGGTTCTTTTGAGAGTCCAAAACTTATTATCCATCTTAAGGCTGAAGCCCAATAGTCCAATACCCATTTGAAGCCCACCCAATTTACCCAAACCTAATTACTTAAGACTTAGTCTTACTGATACATTCTCATTTTTCAAACCTAAATCAAAAATTAGATTTAGGGTTCCTCTGTGCGACTGCTGCCTTCTTCCTCAGCTCTGTGCAACTGTTGCCTTCTTCCTCAGCTCTGTGCGACTGCTGCCTTCTTCCTCAGCTCGTCGCTCATCCTTCTTCCTCAGATTATTGCGACTTCTTCTGAGTTTTGAATTCCTTTTCTATGTTCCTCAGCTCATTCGATTTTGGTAAAAAAATTTTGTGTTGATTATTTCGCTAAGTGAAAGTCAACATATAACTTTCTTCTATTGATCCCTTTCTATGCTACGTTATTTTGTTAAATAGTAACATGGACTTGACTTTCTGTAATTTTCTGCTAAGTTATTTTGATGTTTCATTGATCTCTAGGCAATTTTTGGTAGCTATTGTGTTCTGTTTGGACGTGAAATTCTGCTAGTGGATTAATTATTATTTTGTTAATTGTTATGTTGTTCATATTGATACTAGAAACAGTAGTAGTGGGCTGCTCTAAAAGGAATTGAATCCAATAATTAACAATAGAACTTTGTTCTAGTACAACTAGATTTGTATTTGTTTATTCCAAGATTCTCTAGATTAGAGTAGCTGAAAGCACTCAATCCGCATTAATGCTTGATTTAGAACAAAGTTTCTTGCATTTTATGACCACTGGAAGTTTATGACCACCGGAAGTAAATTCAAGATATAAAAATCTTGAACCGTTAATAACCGAAAAAATAAACCGGAAATAACCGAACCGAACTTTGAAAAAACCGCACCGAACCGTAAATACTTTGGTTTGATTTGGTTATTAATATTACAAAATCGAAAACCGATAAATCGAACTTTACTCTCATAATAACCGACCGAACCGACCGACGCCCACCCCTACCAATAATGCATGACATTAAGCTTTGGTACATGTAGATGAGGTGATTTTAAGTCCTTCTGAGATGTATCTATTACTATTTGCAAATTAAAATTAGGCCAAATTTTTAAAATTAATTTTATCAAACTTTAAAGAAATAATTCATCTTTAGAAGGTATTAAACCAGTAAATATTTGGTAAATTTGAAGCAATTAGGATAAAATAGCATAAGACAAAATATATTATAAATGAACCATTATTTTTTTATTTGCATTTAGTCTGACAAGTGACAAGATCTCTTGTTATATTAAGTTATCTGCCGTAAAAGTATTAACTTAACATTAATACTCATCTTTAAGACTTTATATTTGTCACTATCAATTCTTTTAGGAGGTGTATGGCTAATCTTTTCATTCCCAATCTCTAAAGGACCAGAATATTTAATTTTTAATTTGTTTTATTTGATAAATATTTTTTTAAAAACATGCTAAAAGCATTTTTATTTTTGTCTCCAGGTCATATGAACAACAACATTTTCCATAAAATATTCTGACATAAGTCCTCACAATTAAAATAAGGCATCTAAAAACTTTTGTGGGACAAGATTTCTTCATTTATTGAGCTAGCTAAATGGAAACAACATTCATTATCTTTTTAAAAACTTCTTTAAATTTTATTTTATAATATTATATAAATCAACCATATAGTCTAATAATAATTACATGATTATTAAAAAATATGAATACACGCGCAAAACTCATACCTTAATACTAGTACTATATTAAATGCACGAAAAACCTTAACGAAATAACATTCGCCTTTTCTACCCTTTAAAAATATATTTTACATTTGATAAAATTGTAAAGTCAAATAACTTTTCTACTTTTTAGGAGTTCGAAATCAAATAAGTTTTGTCCAAATATAATTCCGTGTTTGATATCTTTTCCTGATAAGAAACAAAATATTAAGACAATATAAAATAAAACGAATACAAAAAGTAGGAGAAAAGTTTCTTTTTCCAACAAGGGAAGCCCACGATTTATGTAATTTTTTTAATTCTTTGTCCTTTAATCATACAAAACCAATTTTACCTTTTTATTTTCCTTATGAATTATTTGCTGTTTTTAAAATTTAAAGCATACATATTTCTTTAGCAGCTTTGTTGTTGAATCCTTTAGTTTCTATTCTTAAAATACCACGGCAAGTATTGCTGTGAACTATATATACCATTAGATTTTGAAATAGTAATCATTGCTGGAAAAAATATATTTGTAATAAAAATTTAATACCATAATTGAATTTACAACATTAACTAAATTAGCGTAATGAATAATAGCGTTAAATAGATGGAAAAAGCTTTGGTAAAAAAGAAACTAATATAATTACTAAGATAGTTTATTACATAATTTGACTAAAAAAAATAAGAATTAGCTATGAAATTCAAATTGTGGATAATAGGATTCTTTTAATAATCTATCTCTAATTCATCACCACATAGGATTAGCGACAAATTTTTATGAACTACATAATTTTTCGTTGTTAATTCTTTTTTCCTTTGTAGTTGACATATCTAGAATACTTGGTACCTAGACGATCATTTTGATACGAAATTAAATCAAAAGATCAAGGGGACATATAATAGATCACTAAGCCTTTAAAATTATCTTGATTGTTTCATGCTTAGCTAGGCTATCCGCTACTTTGTTAGCTGAATATGATAAATATTCGTCATTTTCAAGAGTTTATATTTTGTTTAAATTTTATTTTCAAGATCTTATTTTTTTGAAAAGATTATACATATTGTTATAAGGTACCGCACATGACGCGTATTCTAAAACTAGTATATATATATATAAAAGGAAAGAGCCACAACTCTTAAAAAGTTACAAATAGGTTTCTGCAGAGAAGAAACCAACGTGTTTTTACTCCACTCTATCAAAAGTGATTTTTTTCCTTTCTAATATCAGAAAAGAGAAACTCTCTTCAACTACTGTGGAGGATTCCTTGAAGCGGCCTTCAACAAAATACTGGAACTATGTTCTACAACTCAGGTACGATTTTAAACTTTATAGTTACAGTACTGTTGGCAACAAGTGTAACAAACAAATGGATCTTGGGAGGAACTTTGTGTTCTTGATTGTGTTTTCTTTCAAATAATATTTATATACACTCGTTCTTACTCATTGGTAGTATGTAATAAGCAAGCATACCGTGCACCATCCAACAATATTTCTTAAGAATTCTCGTAAGATGAAGCCAATGAGCCTTTGAACTGAGGATAATGGGACTCTCAACAGTAATTTTAGTCAAAACTTAAATATAATTTATATACAACTTGTATACAATTATGTTAGTTGTGTATATTGTACGTCGTTTGTGCATTTGACTGTATATACAAAATATATACAATTTATTTGTGTCTTCTTCTTCTTTGAGTTTCAACCTAAAATTCCAACCAAAACCAACTCGAATCTTCAACAAACTCTCTCAAAGTTGAGATATGAACTCCAAAGGATATCCTTTTGCAACAACACCTAATCCAAACAAATAATAATATTGTTAAATTTAATTTTCGAATTTAAAGCTTATGGCTGTTGCCAAATATGGACCGTGTTTCTGTCAGAGAGGAAAAGAAAAGCCCTGCCTTCTTCTATTGAGTAACAAAAATATATATACAAATAGTAAACCCTAGTCCTAACAAATATGAAAAAATTTAGTCCTAAACATATACGGAGAACAACTAGTTTTACTATGGACCACCGATGCTTCACCTTCATAAAATATATACAACATATACACGCCTAATACCCTCCCTCAATTGGTGCATGCGAATTACAAATGCTCAATTTGCATAAGAGAGAAACATATTGAGATTTCTGCCAATTGCTAATGTGAAGACTCAAAGCTGGTACGAATGTTCTCATTTACTATCTTGTCATGAATCCACTTTAATATGTTTGATTATTTCATGAAAGACTGAATTTTTGGTTGTGTGCAATGCTGCTTGACTGTCACAATGAAGACGAATAGGAGAATTGCAAGTCACTCCTTGACTAGACAAAATCATTTCAGCTCACAATCGTCATTGCCATATAACGATATTTGGCTTCTGCAGATGATCGAGACACATTATGTTGCTTCTAAGTCTTCCAATATATCAGTGAGTCACCACCTAAAGAGACAAACCAACCTGTGAGTAAGCAACCTGTCAAAGGACAACTTGCTCAATCAGAGTCGCACCATCCATAGAGACACAAATCACATTTACTACTTTACAAAATGACTTGTCCTGAATTCCCCTTCCAGTAAAGTATAACCCGCAATGCTGCTTGCTAATATGCTCTTCTTTTGGTTGTTGCATGAACCGAGATAAAACATAAATGCAACATGAAAACTCTAGAAGTGTGAAGCAAAGATAGATGAGTCGTCCTACCAAACTACGATAATGTTCCGAGTCATCAAAAACTCGTCCTTCTACCGATGCTTGCCGATGATTTTGCCCTAAAGGCACTCCCACAAGCTTAGAACCTAATAATCTAACCTCAGAGATAATGCCCAAGGCGTATTTATGTTGGCTCAAGAAAATTCTATCAGAGTTTCTGGAAACCTCTACCCGCGAAAAATATTTCAATCTACCTAAATGCTTTATGTGAAAACATTACCAACATATATCTTAAAATCGCGGACAACCGTAGGTTCATTGCCAGAAATAATGAAATCGTCGACATACACAAGGACATTTATTCACACTTAACTCCTTTGCGGAGTAAAAAAGAGAGTAATCAGTATATGAGCATTGGAATACATAATCTCCCAAAGTGATTGATAACTTAACACAAACACATCTGCCTAACTTCCCTAGACTCACAACCTGAAACCTAGGAGGTAGTTTCATGTATACTTCCTCGTGAAGATCCCCGTGCATGAAGGCATTATGCACGTTCATCTGATACAACTCTCAGTTTTTCACCGCTGCAATTGCCAAGAATACTCACACAGTCACCATCTTTGCCACCGGAGCAAATGTTTCAGTATATATAGTCAATCCTTTCTACTTGATGATTCCTAAAGATAACTAGACGAGTTTTGTGTCATTCAACCGTTCCATCTGAGTTGTACTTTATCTGGTAAACCTACCTGCAACCAAGAGTTTTCTTATTAGAAGACAGATCTTCTATCACCCATGTTCTATTATTCACCAACGCTTCTTGTATTTATTGCTTCATTGTCTCTTTCCACTTTTCATCTTTCATAGCTTCGGCGAAAGTCGCTGGTTCATACCACATAGCAATCGCTGCAAGAAAATTTCCTTATTGCGCAGAAAATTTATTGCAATTCACATAGTGTGCTAAGGGATAGGGTGTACCTGATCTGATTTCGTGAAGTGGATAAAGGCCAATATAGACTCAATTTTTGGATCATATTAGTAACATAATCATACAAATGGATTGGTGTGTGTTTCTAGCGATGTGTCCACATCCCAATTGCTCCCCCTCCATTGTTTCACATTGCCCAGCTTCAATTCCTACTTCGTGGGGAGCATATTTGTTGAGTTCGGCTTCCTAGTGACCATCTTCACTGTCTCGACTTCACGGTCTTGGACTGGGTCTAAGCCACCCCTTACTTCAACCTCCTCATCATCTCCAAATTCTTTTGCAAGTGTTTTCTTATCATTATCACTGCCCGATTCGGTCATCAATGAAGTGAAAGAAAATTTAGTCTCATAGAAGCCAACATATCGTCAGATAAAATACCTTTTCGTTTCTAAATCATATACTATCCCTTCTTTCATAGGGATATCCCACAAAAATACACTTACGACTTCTACTCAAAATGTGTTCACCCGTCCTCCCTAAATTATGTGCATGAACACATGCACCCAACTACTTGAAGATTCCCATGTTAGGAACTCGACCATATAAAAGCTCATAAGGGGGTTTTCTATCCAAAGTTAAGGACAGAGTTCGATTAATTAAATGACATGCCGTCAAAATACATTCCCCCAAAAACTCTTTAGATAAATTACCTTAAAAATGCAAGGCGTGTGCTACATTCAATATGTGACAATGTTTTCTTTCTACTCTTCCATTCTGCTGAGGAGTTCTTGTACGTGAAGTATGAAAAATAACCCCATTGCTCCTGAAAATTATAACTCGCTTATTGAATTGTCTCTCCATCATAGCAAAAACTTTCTTCGCAGTTTGGCTACTTCCTTCTTATCAGTCAATAAAAAAATCTAGAGAGCATGCGGATAATCATCTACAATAGTTTTAAAAAAAATAATGCACCACAAGACGAAGTCATCCAAAAGGTCCCTATAAATCACAATAAATTAATTCAAAAATGCTATAAATTCTAAAATTACACAAAGGAAATTTGTCTCTCTTTTGTTTTTCCCGATGACACACATCGTAGCTCTTATTTAAAACGTCAATATTATTCTTAAAATCTATGACAAATTTTTTTTTGGTCACTTGTAGAGATGGATGTCCCAAATGCTAGCTAGTACCAAAGATCTAACGAGTCAACACCATCAATCTTCAGCGCACACATTTTCGAATTGTTCTAAAAATAGTAGAGTCCATCTCTTCGTTCACACGCTCCAATCAACATCCTCGAGGTGCGGTCCTATATAACACATAATAGTTTAGTGAATAGGAAAACTATCTGACTAATGCATCATTTGCTACGTAGATATTAAATTGCACGTTAACCCGAACACATAAAGAATATTTTTCAAAACCAAATTCCCTTCAAGTTTTGTTGAACCCTCGTTGGTGGCTACAACATTGCTTCCATCAGGCGAAGTAACAGGACAACATTGCTTCTCTCGTTGGTCGCGGAGGCACCTCCTCCCGTAGTCTGCGCATTTTTGGCGCGAAGCATAGCACTCACTCGCACCCTCCATTCGTTCCACCCATCTATTGTTGTTGTCCTCTACCACGAGGCCGATCTCCCTACCATTCTGAAAATTCAATAAGCTGAAAATAATTTTCGGAATCATACCGTGCGCGCTTACAATATAGGAGCAGATCATTTTTTTCGTTCCCTTTGGTCCGACCTCTGTAGGGAGGTGCAACTTGCACCGTAAACTCTATAGCATCACCGCGCTCATCTGTTCCTCGAGCCATCATTTTTACACGTTCTCTTGCACCAGCTTTAAGTAAATCCGATTCAAGGTTGGCAACGAATCTTGAGCGAGCAGGTTCGACCTTGCTGTCGATCTCATACAATGTTTCATCAATTCCCATGAGGAAAGGATTCACCTTCTCTTCTCCCTTTTCTTCTCTAAGATCGCACTAAGATTGCATGTACATTTTCCACACATACAGGTCAGAATCTGATCGAGGTTAGCAAGTTCGTCCCATAGTTTAGTCAATTTTTCATAGTAGTTAACTCTGGTCATGCCCTTCTGTTTGCACTCTGCAAGTTTAGCCTTCAATTGGTGTATTCTCGGGCCTTTAGAGATTGAAGCGTTCTCTAATAGTTTTCCACAAGTCTTCAGCCACATCCATATGAGGTATGGTCAAACGCAAAGTGGGTTCAATTGTGTTTCGGATCCGAGATACCAACAACGAGTCATTTGGTCTATTCAAGACCAAATGATCCCGACTATAAAACCAAACTTTTTCCTTGCCCGCAAGGAGATCTAACCCATTCATCATAATTTTTCCTCTCAATTGTACGTGTTATCAGTATTCCAGAATTGTCATTAGTTGTTATATCGTATGGAGAGATTGTCTTTCTTCGACTGCCCCCATCGCCACTGTTACTCCTGCCAGCACCGCCTTTGTCTTTAATTTACTGTCGTCTCCGGCCATAGGTATGACAATTGAATGGCTCTGATACTATGCCAAAATATGGACCGAGTTTTGGTTAGGGAGGAAGAGAAAAGTCTTTCCATCTTGTATTGATAACAAGAATATATATATATACAAGTAGTAAACCCCTAGTCCTAAACATATATGGAAAACAACTAGTTACATTGTGGGCCACCGGTGCTGCACCTCTAGTTACACTGTGGACCATTGATGCCTCACCTTCCTAAAATATATACAATATATACATGCCAAATAGCTCTTAATTCTGTTTTTAAATAAATTTTATGTTTATTTTAAAAAAGAGCTTCTACTTGATGTAGCGTATCATGAAACAAATGCCAAAATGATCTCTATCACAAGCATGCTGATATGCTTGCCAAAATTTTTCATGGATTCTCTCTCGATGTATTGCATTTGAAACATCATGCTGATATTGCATTTGAGAGACAGCGGGCNNNGGGGGGGGGGGGGGGTAAGAGAGAGAAGTGGTTTGATAAATTTAATAACACTAACGGTTTCGCAAACACAAAGCCATTTTTACAATTTAAAAATAAAAGTTTTTTTGAATGACAGTTTTACCAATTAAAAATAAAATTCTTTTTGGATAAAACAATAATTACCATCAAATATTTTAAATTTTGGGATGAGATAATTATTTTCTTTCATGTTGAGAACTAAAAAATATAGCAAAAGAGTTTAGTTCAATTCTTTTTCAAATTCATTGTACAAGTAAATCCTTTATCAAGTTGCATAAACTCTTAGGGTATTGTTGCCCTAAATCGCACATGCATGTATACACGTCAATATAATAAAGAGTAAGTAGAGTATCATTTTCACGGGACTTGTGATTGACTCTCAAAATAACTCTAATTTATCTAGTCAAGAACATGCTCAATATAAATTTTTTTTATTAATTCTAATGACTAAACTTCGTAAATTAATAGAAGAAAATAAATAACTAACACGATTAGCATGCTGATTTTAATTCAATAATAATAATATTTCAGTGTTGTGATTAGCTAACAATCCAGATGAATTCTTCTATTGACCTGGCTTACTAATTTATTTGGACTATTAACATGCAAAGATAATAATACTCGTAGAAATTTGACAGTTCCTACTATCCTATTCAATTTGTTCTAAACCCTATGTTTCTATAAGATTAGAGATAAAAAAAAAATGCATTAATGATTTTTGCACTAACTGGCTAAGCACTGCGAATAGATATATTTGTATCCTTATTCGCAAATCAATTCTCCAATGCCATGTTCAAGATCGCGCTCTATTCAACCCTATTTCAATCAGGAGTTTCTTTTTTCAAGTTCTACATAAGATTCATAAATAGTACTCCATCCGTCCCTAATGCCTATGTTCAAGATCACGCTCTATTCAACCTTATTGTAATCAAGAGTTTCTTTTTTCAAGTTCTACCTAAGATTCATAAATAGTACTCCATCCGTCCTAATTTATATGACACTCCAATTTATGTGGCACCATTTGACTAGCATAGAGTTTAAGAAAGAAGATTTTTTTTAAACTTGTGGTATAAAACAAGCCTTAGATATTTAAGTGGTTATAAATTATCTCATTAAGGGTTAAAAAAAAATAAAGTAAAATTATTTCTAAATATAGAAAGGTGATATCTTTTTTGGGATAAACGAAAAATCTACAAAACATTTTGTTCTTTGAAAAAATTCTGTAGCTATTTGAGTTGCTTGTATAGAGTAAAATATTGCATGATAGATATGTGGCTTTGGAAATTAGATTAATATTTGGTCTTTTGGCAGGGGTCGTTTTCTGTTCTTCGCAAGGAGATAAAGAATCTTGCTAAATCAAGTGCCGCCATGACGGAGGAGCAGTTGAACTTTCTCCTCATGAATCTCCATCATTTGTCCAAGTATCGTGCTGAGCAGATTTATCCATTAGTGACTGAATATGAGATTCTTCAGAATGTATGTGGCAACATAAGAGATTTCCATCAATTGAAAGTGAATGGCTGCGTTGAGCCTGAGATTATTGAAACTGTCTTACCTCAGTTTCAACTAATTGCTGAGAGAGTAGGACACTTCCTTTTGGATGATGAATTAATTGATAGAGACTATAGACTCTCAAAGCTAGCACATCTACTCTTGAAGATTATTCCAACTCAGTTGGAGGTTATGCACATGTGTCATAAAAATTTGAAATCTTCAACATCAGCAGAAGTTGGACGCTTCATTGAGCAGCTCTCAGAAACCTCTCCGGATATTCTTCGAGAATATCTGATTCATCTACAAGAGCACATGGTAAATGTTGTTACCACTAGCACTTCAGGGGCTCGAAACATTCATGTCATGATAGAGTTCCTATTAATCGTTCTTACTAATATGCCCAAGGAGTTTATTCATCATGACAAATTGTTTGATCTCTTGGCACATGTTGGAGAACTTATCAGGGAGGTATCAACTCTTGTTCGCGACTTAGAAGTGAATTCAAGAAATGAAGAGAGTACCAATGGAAAAAATCATGCAACTTTGGACTTGATGGAAAATATTGAACTCATGAAAGGAGATCTCAAACATGTTTACTTAAAAGCCCCAACCTTGTCTCAACTCTGCTTCCCTATGAGTGATGGATCCCTCCTTATGCATCTTCTACTAAGACATTTAAATGATTTGCTCAATTCCAATGCTTATTCAGTTGCATTGATAAAGGAAGAAATTAAGCTGGTGAAAGAAGATCTAGAATTCATAAGATCTTTTTTGATAAATGTTGAGCAAGAATTGTATAAAGATCTCTGGGCACGTATTCTAGATTTGGCATATGAGGCAAAAGATGTCATTGATTCAATTATTGTACGAGATAATGGTCTCTTACATCTTATTTTCTCACTTCCTTTTGTTGTAAAAAAAATCAAGCTTACCAAAGAAGAGGTCCCTAATTTACTTGAGAAGATTACAAAGAACAAGGGCCTCATTGTTGTGAAGTCTCCCACCAAGTATGTTGAAAGGAAGTCTTTAACAACTGGTCAAACAATCGTAGGTTTTAAAGAGGAGGCAGATTTGATTATTAGTAAGCTCACCGGTGGACCTAAAATGCTAGATGTCGTTTCGATCACTGGTACGCCAGGTTCGGGTAAAACTACTTTGGCGTACAAAGTGTATAATGATAAGTCAGTTTCTAGTCATTTCGACATTCGTTCATGGTGTACAGTTGATCAAAAATATGACGAGAAGAAGTTGTTGGATGACATTTTTAATCAAGTTAGTGGCTCAACTTCGAAATACAGAGATAATATTGATGCTGCTAATGAGCTACGGAAACATCTGTTTGGAAAGAGGTTCCTTATCGTCTTAGATGACATGTGGGATACTGCAGCATGGGATGAGTTAACAAGACCTTTTCCCGAAGCTAAGAAAGGAAGTAGAATTATTTTGACAACTCGAGATAAGAAAGTGGCTTTGCATGCACAATGCCACAGTGATCCTCTTGACCTTCGATTGCTAAGACCAGAAGAAAGTTGGGAGTTAATAGAGAAAAAGGTCTTTGAAAATGGAAGTTGCCCTGATGAACTAGTGGATGCTGGAAAAGAAATAGTCCAAAATTGTAAAGGGCTTCCTTTGGTCGTTAATCTGATCGCTGGAGTCATTGCTGAGAAGGAAAAGAAAAAGACTGTTTGGCTTGAAGTTTTAAATAATTTGCATTCCTTCATTTTCCAGAATGAAGTGGATGTGATGAAGGTTATAGCATTAAGTTATGACCATTTACCAGATCACCTAAAGCCGTGCTTAATTTACCTTGCAAGTTTTCCGAAGGACTATGCAATTCCAGTCGGAACTTTGAAATTTCTTTGGTGTGGCGAAGGTCTTGTGCAACAGACAGAAATGAAGAGTTTGGGAGAAGTGGTTGAGATTTATCTGGATATTTTAATTTCGAGTAGCTTGGTTATTTCTTTCAATGAGATAGGTATACGGGCGACTTGCCAAATTCATGATCTTGTGCATGACTTTTGTTTGATAAAAGCAAGAGAGGAAAAGTTGTTTGACAGGATACGTTCAAGTGCTCCATCATCATCTTCTTCTTCAGATCTGATGCCACGTCAAATGGCCATTGAATATGATAAGGAGCACTTTGGGCATAACAATTTTGTGCTATTTGATTCAAAAAAGAAAAGGCATTCTGGTAAACACCTCTATTCTTTGGTGATACGTGGACAGAAGCTGGACAATAGTTTTTATGATATATGTCACCTAAGACACTTGAGGCTTCTTAGACTGTTGGAACTGAATGACTCTTTTATCAAGGTGAATGATTCTTTGCTCAATGAAATATGCACATTGGTCCATTTGAGGATCTTAAGCATTAATACAGGAGTTAAATCTCTGCCTTCGTCTTTTTCAAACCTCTGGAATCTAGAAACGCTGGTGGTGAAAAACGACAGACCAGCCTTGGTACTACTACCGACAATTTGGAATCTTGTAAAGTTGCGAATGTTGAGCATAAGTGATTGTTCTTTCTTTGATTTGGCTACAGATGAACCAATATTGATAGTAGAGGACTCAAAGTTAGAGAACCTGAGAGTAATACAGGGACTCAAACTTTCCTATTCGAAAGACACGGAGGATATTTTCAAAAGGTTTCCCAATCTTCAAGAGCTTAGTTTTAATCTCAAGGAATCATGGGATTGTTCAACAGAGCGATATTGGTTCCCGAAATTGGACTTCCTAAATGAACTAGAAAATCTCAGAGTAACTTTTAAAAGTTCAAATACATATGATAGTGCGCTCTCTGTAGCGACAAATCGGCTGTGCGATTTTCACTTTCCTTTGAGTTTGAAAATATTGATGCTGCATAAGTTTCCTCTGACATCCGATTCACTATCAACAATAGCAAGACTGCCCAAGCTTGAACAGTTGCACCTTGAATACGCAATCATCGGGGGGGCAGAATGGAACATGGGGGAGGAAGACACCTTCCAGAATCTCAAATGTTTGACATTGTGTGGAGTGACTCTTGCTAAGTGGGAGGTTAGAGAGGAATCATTTCCCGTGCTTGAGAAATTACGACTGTGGGCGTGTCCTACGCTTGAAGAGATTCCGCCTAGTTTCGGGGATATTTGTTCATTAAAAAGTATTGAACTGGGGTGGAGCCCTCAACTTGAAGTATCTGCTCTGAAGATTAAGCAAGATGTTGAAGATATGATGGGGGATATTCAGGTCCTTGTTTATGTGAAAATATGTGAGTATAGACGAACTTATTACCTCCTTTGATTCATTTTATGTGGGAAAATTTGACCAGTGTAATTTTCTTTTGCAGAGAGCATGTAAGATATACATCCAGCTTTTGAGGCTAAAGATGAATCCTCAGAGACCTATTGCATTTTCCCCTGCTATTTCACTCCTTTCTTTTACTCTGCTGTGTGGTGAATAAGTGATGGATTTGTATTGATATCAATTATTATTATATGACTTTTGTCTAATTTCCCTACTTTTTCTTCATTTTGTATGCTTAAAACAGGTACTCTAGTTTATGTATTCCAAGCTTTGTTCTTTCAGATTGTTGTTTTTGTGTACTCTCTTTTCTTTCTTGGCATGGCTTGAATTGTTTGCATATACATAGGATTGCTGGCTTTCAGATGTTGTAGAAAATTGTCTTTCATTGCATCAGATATATTTCACCACTAGATGCCATGTGTTGTATCTTGACCTGCTATTTCAACAAATGTGATGAGTACTTTCAGTTTTTCTTCTTGTATAGAAAATAACTATAGTTTCACTTTCCGTTAAATTCACTATAATGCTACATCTTCTGTTTTCCCTTTTACAAGTGAAATCATTTTTATTAGGGTACATCAATATGGTGTTAAGTGTACATAAAGGTATTACTAAGCAATTATTTTCCGTTAACCAATTGTTTTCTGTTGGTCCATTAGGTGCAGGGTATTAAAAATGGCAAAGGCGAGGGTAAGTACCTTGGGAAAGTATAACGGAGGGTAACTATAACTAATAGTATCTGATAGTAGAGGTGCAAATGTAACCCTCACGCCTTACCTTACTGATGGTAGAGAGGGACGAAACCCTTTCCAAACAAGAATGTAAAGAAGTACAAATCAAAAAAGATCAAATGTGTTACAATCATCACACAATAAGTTATTATTTCACTAAGTGTATGCATCAGGCTTCCACTGCTTTGTAAATTCCCGGGACTTCTTCTATCTTGAGCTCAAATAAGTTATTATTTCAAAGCAGAATGTATCAGTGAAGGAGGTGAGAGCCATCTACCTAATGGCTCTTGCACATTTGGATTAATTCTTTCAACTTCCCTTATACTATCACAACTACCAGTAGCGGTAGCACTCAAATTAAACACTGCATCTTTCCTATCCACATTAGTCTGAAGTTCTGAGATGGGATATATACGGGATTGATGTATGAATAGGATTTCTAATAACACTTACTGTTACAGATGAAGCCTAATGCTGTATAGCAGCACCTATTGAAACATCTTGATCATTAGATATAGCCACTAAAGATCCCAAATCTTGTTGCATTGGAAGAGTTTTCACATGTTAGTGATGGTATTTCTTGAAAGATTTGAAAAACTTAAAAACCAAATATAGGATAACTTTCAAAGGTTGCCCACCTTTTGTTTCACTTCCTTATTGTCCATCATATCAGAGAGTCAGCAATGATGTAACGTACGATATGCAAACAATTCAAGCCATGCCAAAAAAAGATAAGAGAGTATACAACAACAACAATTTGAAGTAGAACAATTTGATTTACAAAAGAATACATATTATATGATTTAATTAACACTGGTGCGACCAACCATATGATATCTGATGTTACCTTGATGCTTAATAAGATTAAGCGTAATGAAGCAAAGGCCAAAAGAGTTCATTTGCTCAATGAAGGTGTTACTTTTATAACTCATATAGGATCGTGTGAGCTAAGTAACGGAGACTTGGTAGATAATGTGCTTTTTCTTCCTAACTAGTGCAATAAACCAAAATTTTCATTTGTCTAGACACTTGTGGAAAAGCCTTGAAAGATTGTATTGTGTCCCCCTTAGTTCAGCACACTAGACTACTCTTCAGAAATAGTATTACTAGAGTACTACTGCAGTGTTTGATTTGATACACATTGATGTATGAGGACCATATGGTATACAAACCTTTGATGAAAATAAAATGTTACTATTGAATATTGTTGTTGATCATTCTCGGATGACATGGTTATACCTGTTGAAATTAAAAATGATATCATTGTTATTTGAGAACATTTCTGCAATTAGTACATAGTTTAATAGAAATGTAAAAGTGCTTAGATCATGACTATCAAGAGTATTTCTCTCATATGACATAGTACATCAGAGAACATGTATCTACACACCTCAGCAAAATGGCATAGCTGAGAGGAAGCATAGACATGTTCGGAGGTGGCAAGGGCTCTTAGATTTCAAGGGTATACATCCCTTTAAAATTCTGGGGTCATTGTGTTCTGGCAGCAACTTATATTATAAGCTCCCAATGTTCCCACCATGACAAGCACCGCAACTACACGAGGCTCGGCCAAATAAATGCAGGAGAAAGATAAATTCTGGTTACTATACATTATCAATACATATCAAAGAATAGTCAACACTAAAAATAGTATCTTGACAAGAGCATATAAGTAGCAGATACTATCTATATAAGTTCAACAAATGGAATTCCATTTGCATTAGTTTACAAGACATGACAAAAATTAATGACTTGATACATATTAATTTTCAGACAGAATTACAACTAATGTTTAACCATACATTACATAATTAATTAGTCTGTAAGAATTACATAACCACACCATTTCATCAGAAGAACATGTCACTAGAAAGAGAATAAAAAAAAAAAGAACTTCTACATAATGATACAAAAGTCTGCGAGGAGTTTAAACATGCCGCCTCGCACCCAAAAATATAATATAACAGCACAACGCAAAGAGTTTAAACTCTTTATTTGAAAGGGTATAATAGATGGTCATATGAGCTTCAATCCTCTCTCATAACATTTAGCTCCCAATGTTCCCACAACAACCAGCACTGCAACTACACGAGGCTCAAGCAAATAAATGTAGGAGAAAGATTAAACATAGAACTAATACCTACACTCTTCCTAAAGAGAAGCCACAGAGCAATTCCCGTTACTATATGGCATTCATCAATTATCCAAACAAAGTCAGGGGCGTCGAACCTCTATCCTGCCACTGTCCTATATATGTAAAGTTTGTCGATTCTGGTCTCATTTCCGGATTCACTGCTCTTCTTTTTTCCAATTCTTGAGGGATAGGACCACACAAAATAGAAAAGCTAACAAAAATTAATACAACTTTTTTCACTTCTAGAGTAAAGAAAATTGGTTAGGAAAATGCATAAGTACCCCGTCCCTATGACCGAAGTACTAACTACACATCTTTCCTTTTCGGGGTCCTATTACCCCTTGAACTATTTTAAAACAGAATTGTTACACCTTTAAAAGGCCACAACCATATCATATGTTGATTGAAGCCACACGCAATCTACATTTCATTAAGAATTTTGTTTAATCTTTTTTTATTCTTTCCTTTATTTTTTATTTTATTATTCTATTCTTTTATTCTTTCTTTTTCTTTCCTTTCTCTTCCTCCAATTACCTTCTTCCAAAATGTGACCACCCCTACTCTCACAAAATTCTTTCCACATTTTGTTTTCTGTCCTTTTTCTTTTTTATTTATCAAATTCGATATTATTGTTTAGTTTGTTGTTATGCAAGAAGAATATAATCATAAATGGCGGAATCTGCTATTAATATGGTGGACCCCTGATGAAAGTTATGCAAAATTTGGCTAGAAAAAAATGGGTTTCGATGGTCGGAAAACTTTCCAGCGAGGGACTTCCTGCACAACCTGGCTATTTTTCTTGCAAATTTGTGGACCGATAATAGGAAAATTTTCTACAACTAATGAATTTCACAAATTTGTTTACTTTTCAAATCATTTAGAATGAATATGCAATTACTGAATTGTTTTAATAATTGTTTTCTTAAAAATCTAGTTACACTATCTTCAACTTGGTGCTTCGATGGCTTACTGATGATTTTGAAATTGTGTGTAGAGTGGCCTCTTGGTGGATTATGGCACTAAGGGAGGGGGGGG